AACGTATCATAAATAAATAAATTATTTAACCAGAAATAAAAAATTGTATTACAAATAAATATACAATTTGAAGATGAGAACTATATTCCAGAAATTTTTTTTTTATTTTTATTTTTTTATCAGCCACAACTCTTTTGAAAAATTTGCGTAAAGAAAATACCAAAATTTTTTGTTTCATATCAATATTATATCGTAATATATTGCATTATTCAGCTTAAACAGAATAAATTGGCTTAAATTTGGGAAGGGTAGAAAATCATTTATAAAGGGACCTCAAAATAAAATGCAAAGCCTACATATTCGGATTGCAAATACTTATTCACTAAAATTTACTTTGATTTCTTTTAAAGCTAGCACCCTCTCTAAAACTTTTTTTTTGTTTTGAAATAAAGCTTTTTTAAACCTCTTTCGTTTGGCACTCATAATCAAATATTTCATTTAACTCTAACTTAATAAGACTCTCAAATAGGTGGCAACCCTCTATAAAAATATTTTTGATATAAAGCCTTCTGAAACTTGTTTATTAAATTAGTATTCCCCTCTGGGATGCTTCCTTATAGCTAGTCAAAAAATTATAGTAAGTATGTATATGATTAAAAATTTGGACTTTAAATTTGAAGAATCACAAAATTGATAATGATGCAAAAATTCCGTAAGTAGATGACTATCATACAGAATTTGTTTAAGAAGAGCTGCCACCTTCTTCAAAAGTTAAAATAAATTTCTTTATAAGTTACATAAAATATTATAAAAATGTAGGCATCAAACGAAACCGGTTCAAAGACGATTTATTTGGAAGATATTTTTAAAGAGCGTTGCCACCTGTTCAAAAAGCTAAAAGCAATTTAATTAGCTAGTTAAGTCAAACATTTTATTTTGGGTATCAAACAAGAGGGGGTTAAGAACGCTTTATAATAGTTTAGGCCAGGGTTGCCACTTGTTTAAAAAGTCAAAATTATTTTGATTAAGAAGTTAAATTAGAATTTTAATATGGGTGTCCAGCAAGAGAGTTTAAGACAGCTTTCTTTTGGAAATATTTTTGAATAGGGTTGCCACTTGTTTAGAGATTAGTTTAATTAACAAGTTAAATGTAATATTTTATAATGGGTGTTCAGCGAGCGGTGTTTTAAATATACTTTATCAACAGTATCAATTAAAATAACAAGCTCAAGGAAATATTTGTATGTGGGTATTAAAAGAGAGAGGTTTACCCAATATTTATTTCGAAAATATGTTTTACGAGGGTGCCACCTGTTTAGAAACTCAAAATCAATTAAAATAACAAGTCAAGGGAAATATTTCAATACGGGTGCCAAACGGGAGAGTCGTAGGATAGTTTCGAAAATATTTTTGACTGGGGTCGCCACCTTTAGCGTTTCGAAATCAATTAAGAAAATTAAATGAAATATTTAAATATGGTTACCATAGAGGTTAAAATTGCGTTATTTAGAAAACTTGTTTGAAGAGGGCTGCCGCTTGTTTAGTAGTTCAAAATAAATTTTATTGACAAGCTATATGAAATGTTTTGATATGGGTTTCCAAAAAGAGCGTTTAAGTAAGCTTTATTTAATAAATATTTTCGAAGAGGGTTCCCATCAGTTTAAAAGTGTCAGTAAAATTAAAAATTAATTACGGACGCCAAAAAAGAAAAGTTAAGGAAAGCTCGAAAATATTTTTGAATTAGGTTGTTACCTATTTTAAAAGTCAAACTTAACTTACTTAATTGATAAAATAATTTTAAAAGCATTTTTTACGAGAGTTTTCACATTTCTAAAATTTATGTAAGTCAACTGCTTTTGTTCATTTTAAATAAAATATTTACAAAAAAGATCCAGTTTTTCATCCTCTACGAATTTCGGAGACACTTTGGAATGTTAACATATTTAAGGGTAAAGTTCAGAATTAACGCAGAGGACAATTTTTAGCATTTTTTTGAAAGTCAAAAAGTTATAACGGGTTAACTTGTTGAAAAATTTACAACAAAAGGTTTCAGGAGGACTTAAATGGTTTACTATGCCGGCTTTCACAGCTTATAAAACAAAAACAAAAAACACATTTATGGCATTTCATGACTATCTACCCTCCTTTCCGCAAAAAAATATATACATTTAATTTCATTTCAGATACGCGTACGTTCATTGCGTCACATGAATAACATCAAAGATCGCAATTCGATTAAATCGAAAAATATGCTGTGGGCAAAAGATGCAGACTATGCGATGCCATTAAAGCAGGTGAGTGAAAAAAGAATATGTACATATATAATGTTTTAAATTGAGTAAATATAAGCACTTAATGTTTATTATTAGTAAAAAAATAATTTTTACTTTCAAACTTTTTGCATTTTTAAACATTTTGTCTGTACATATATTTTAAACAACTCATGTTTAAAATCACATTTTGAACATCGTGTATATCGTATATTTATGCAGATTCTAGCTGAAAAATAAACACTTCTCGGTATTAGTTTTACAAGCACTTTATAGAGTATATGTGTGCATTAATAATTCGCATTTTTAAGCTTCTCTGCATTACAGAATATCTACATGCATTTATATATTTCATTGATAAACAAGTACTGCATATATACATATACATAAAGTTAAACAAGAATGCAATACTGCTCGAGATATCGTTATAATTCCATTACAACTCACCAATACAATATGTATGTACATACAAACAAAAAAAAACAAAAAATAATAATACGAGTACTATGTACGATAGTAACATTGACATACCAATACCAGCTATGGCATGCTGGCAGAAATTGAAAATGCAAAAGTTTTTAAATCGTTACCCATAGCTTTTTAATCTCTCCTTGCCCTCCCGCACATGCATACATGCTGCCTCTGATGCTATCCTGCTGATCTGCTCTAAGCCTCCTCCAATGCTTTATGGCCTTGTGTTGATGACAACTGTTAATTCCTTTTGTATAGCAAACGTTATCAAAGCCATTATTTTTTCATTCTGATTGTTTGTCTTATAAGCCACTGCCTGCTGGCTTTTTAGAAAGACTGTCAAATGAAAACATTTCAACAGAATAAATAATTTGAATTTTCATTTTGGTGTTTTGCATGCGATTATTGTGCATACCATACCATTGCCTTTGTGAACCATCAATTTCATCACTTACCCATTTTCAAATGAAGTCTATTTTTCGTAAATGGGAGGTTTTTGTTATTACTAAACATAGTTTCAAGTATGGTGGTTCAGTAAAACCAATTCTCGTTGTCTTCTTCACTTTTTTTTTTGTGTCATAATTATGCAAAGTGATTAAAGTTGTTGATGCCATGTAAAGCAATCAGGGCAATAGAAAGTTATTGGGTACTGCAGAAAACTAAATTGGGCACTGCACTAGGTTAAGCTGGCGGATCCATGCCTAAAGAGGACAGCACGATTAAGCGATTCTGGCCGAGTCCAAAAAAGCACACCCGTTTTTCTCTTCTGTGCCAAGTAAAGCCAAGTCCTTTTGTACCTGGTCTCTCCATAGAAGAGAAGACCTTCCTCTTCCTCGGTTAACCGCACCGCAACTCTCGTTGAATACTTTCAGAGCTGGAGCATTTCTATATAATTATGCGACATGATCAAGCCAGCATTGCTGCCGGAAACCTCTTTTGGTACCACAAGGCTCGAAGAGGTCCTTTCCAGATCTGACGGAACTGATGGCATTTACTCACCGTCATTTTACATAGTGTTATCAGTTTCATGGCGATAACAAATTCAGACATCGCGGCATAGGGACAAATTATTATCGTGCCTGCAAAGTGGCTCTGAAATCGGCAAATATATAGGGTGTGTCGATCATATTTGAGCGAGTCTTTTCCAATATTTATATGGTGAATTTGCCTGGTTAAAAGCCACACTGATAAGGTCGCAGTCAGTTGTTTGGCGGTCGGCTTCAGTCTTTCGCACAACACGCTTGATAAGACCTTACACCCCATGCTTAGAAGACCTTACCCCAAAACTGAGATTCCCACGAACACAGTGGAAGGACCAAGTGTACTGTCTGAAATTACGATAAACGACTAGCACAAATTCCCAAAAGTTTGAGCCAATTGGCGAAGTTTTTAGTCCCGGTTGGATTCCACCAAAAGGCGATGTGTGCGTAAAAAGTTCAAAATTAGTTTCAAATCGTTGATGGAAAGCTACTAAATGGAAACCCCTTTTCCGTTACGTGGAGCAACATTCGCGCCTAGTCGCCCATCCGCGAGTGATAGCGTACTCACAGTAGTTTGGAAGCTCATTTTGTATAGATTAGTGGTCGCTATCAGGCTCTGAAAATATTGTGTTTTTTTTTATTATCCCGAATATTCGACAAAATTTGGCTTTCGCGAGGTATAACTTAGCGAGCGTAATAATAAGTTTCAATATTATATAAAATTGATCAGCTTTGAAGTCACAATTTTGTCGATTTTTCCGATACTAAAAAAATTTAATTTATTTTAATTTATTTTTTTTTTATCCCGAATATTCAACAAAATTTGGCTTTCACCACGTATAACTTAGCGAGCGTATGAATAAGTTTCAATATTATATCAAATTTATCAGCTTTGAAGTCAAAATTTTGTCGAATTTTCCGATACTAAAAAAATTAATTTATTTTAAACTTTGGATTAAGTTTTTTTTTAATTTTGACCTTTTCGTGTTTTCTTTTTATTTTATACATGGAATAAAATAAAGGGGTCCCTTATACAATTTTGGATTGGTATTTTAAGTATCACCCTATCAGTAGTGATGTGCTGAATTGTCGGTACCCATTACTTCAAAAAGATTTTGGTACCCAATACTTTCTTTTCGGTACCCGATACCGATTCTTTACATTAAAAATTCCCCATTATATATATTTCAAGTTTAGAAAAAAAATTCCATAGCTATTATTACATTTTTCATTTAAATCAGTATTAAAAGCTCTACTGGCCCCCACATTCTGCTTTTGATAGGCGAGTCTCCCCTGAATTGTTTTTTCCATATTTTTGGCCTATGTACGCTTTTGATTATTAGAAACCTAAATATGTCAGTACCGAGTGTTGAAACTATTGGATACTTTTTAAATCGGTACCGAGTATCGATCAATACCTACAAGTATCGACTCAGCACATCGCTACCTACCATCACATCGTTAGCATATGCTGTGTCTTAATGCCTGTACATTTATCTAATAGTAGGTTTAATTCACAAAAAATTTCATGAGCTAACTAAATATGTATTACCGGGTACTCTAAAACTTTTTAACAAACTAATTACTTCTTTCATTCAGTTGCTCGCCTATGCATTAATTTAAGCTCGAAATTACCTCTCGTACAAAGTAAATACTTGCACAATTATTAATCCCTACTTATGTGGAGGCTTAACGTCAACAGGTGCTTTTAACATATTCACTTTTAGCTCTTACGCTGCGCCAAAGCCTAAAAGTAACCAAAGTAAACTTTACATTTGCAAAGAAAAAATAGTAGAAGAATAAGTGAATACGTAAAAACTTTGCTTCGCTAATTGCTTTCCTGCCAATAACAACAACTTAATGGATAGAAGAAAAACATGGATGGCATTTTGTAGAAATCTTTATAATTTCTTCTTTGTTTCTTCTTTTCTTTCGATTTCACTAAAAAATTTTGTTTTATATTTTCTTATCAAAGATATTAAACACTTGAAGTTACTGTCATGTCTATGTTTATGTACAATTAAAAGCCTAACCAAAAATAAGGAAAAATGTAACTCCGTATGCTAAATGAGTTTCTGCTTCATACAGCATCGAAGGCCGTTAAGGAAGTTGCGGTTGCCACAATCTGCATTCAACGACCTGGCAAGGTGGGCAGCAAGAAGCAATCCAAGGGTTAGCCCCATCAAAATTGAACTAGTCCTATTCAATAACCGATATGATAAAAATGGCTTTCGAACTTCCTGATGAAATGGCAAAAATTTTAGGCTGCCAAAAGGCGCGAATTTTTAAAAATTGTTGTCAACACTTAACTTTTCTGAAAATAAAAATAATAAAGAGCGGAGGTAGAAAACGCTAGATGCGCTCTACCCTGCAAGAACAAAATTTGAAAGGACTAGGAGCAACAACCGTAGGTACACATAAGGGGTATTCTCCAAATCTTGCAAAGCCATTGCAAGCTCTGCACGCTTACCAGACTCCTTTATAAGCTTAAGCAGTTGGTCGAGGGAAAGAGAGTATATCTCGTCCACTCTCAATATATCTGGCCCAAATATGTACCATATAATTCTGGCGAAGGCCGGCGAGCGGCAGAGAAATTGTCACAATGTCTGTACGCTATCCAAACAAGATGTACACAATGCATAAATAGTCGATGATACATATGGTGACCATATGTTGACCCCATGTGTTGCGCCCTGTCTTCAGTCATATCAGCGCTAGTAGATCACTCTCCTCTGTCTGAGAATGAATTTTGCTACCACCCTATCAGCTCATTTCAGAAAACACTTGCTTGTTTTGCAGGTGTCAATACCAGCCTAATTGTACGCGATTTTTCCCGATATTCTCGGCTTTCAAATTGGCTCCCGTTCAATTGAACGCTCCAGAGAAGCGCAGTTCGCTGGTTCATCAGCCAGTTCATTTGCCTTGTACACCGCAGTGTTCTGGCACTCACACGAGCACAAACTCATTCCTCCGTGCCACCGAGTTCAACTTCAACTTACATTCCTGGACTATTTTTGAAGAGGCGCTTCTAAAAAACTCTCTGTGCCCGGAATTCCGCCCATCGTGCCAAAATCCAAAACAGTACACTCGACACTTCGTTCTCATTTCCTCCTTTTGGATCGCTATATCTTGAGTTGGCAAATTTTAAACTGCATTAAGAGCCAGTTCTGACGTTGTACTCATGGAGCCCGTAATGCCTATACACACGTTCCTTTCGTTTGGGCCCTAAGCAAATTTAACTGAGTTCAAGAGAGCATGCCAGTCCTTTTTCTCTCATGCCAATTCGAAATGTCAAGTGCTTGCATTTAAGATCTGTTTAAAATCGGTTTTATGTGAATTACAATACAAGGTACAAAGAATCAAAAAGTTTAAGGTTTTGCACATAGTTTCATATATCAAGTTTATAACACAAATTTTATGAAGATTTATTATTACAACACACAACAGCAACAGCTAAAAACAAGAATCGGGGGCAACGTCATTTGTCATTAATAAAATTTGCAGCACAAAAATTTTCTGCTGTCCACGACTTTGGCTACTAAAAAATTCAATACGAACCAAAACATAGCAGAATGTTGAAGAGAAAAAATTACATTTTGCTCTCACATGCTCAATGAAATGTCACTGTTGCTTTGCTTACTTGAATTATCTTTTTGTATTGTGCATCACCTACTATTCCTTGCATTGAATGCGTATTTTTAGATCTAAGCAATTTGTTATTATTCACGCGTTTTTAAAACATTTTCTCTTTTCACTATTTCTTTCTATTTCGCACTTCCATAGGATGTGCTGGAGAATACAGCAAAGTTTGGCACAAATGTTGTAGTCGTAGTGGACAATGGTGGCATCAATGGACGTCCAAAAGTATTCACTGAAAATGAAGCTGAAGCAACACTGATGAGCAAGGATAATGAGACTTGTATTTAAATAAATCGAAAAAATGGACGAAAAAAAATTGCGACTAAATGAGCGAATGATAAATAAACGACGAAAAGATTTGAGATGCTTATGGTAAATGTATTTTTAAGTTAGAAAGATTAGTCAATGAAAAATTGGTTTTAGCTATAAAAGCGTTAATTTGAAAGTAAGAAAATACTGAAATTATGATTGATTGAAAAACTGTGTATAGTATGCTGCATACATACTTATTTGGTATTATTTAAAGAAAAAAACTGGCCATGAAAGACCGTAGCTCTAACAAAAGAAGTGGGGTTTTAACGTATACTTTTTAATAACTTTTTATGGAAGCGAACTAAAAAAATACACTTTCTTCTTTTCCTATCGCCAAACCATATATATATATACATTTTCGTGCGAAACTAAACCATTAATATATCAAATGTTACAAGTTTTAGGTACTTCACGTTAAATTATGAGATTGCGAAAATTTAAAAGAATATATTGAATTTAAAATCTTAATACAAATTTTAAATACATTATGCTTTAATGGAAACCTGACTTGACCCCGACTATATTTCAAAGTCACATATACATATATGAATTGTTTTGGAACTAATTTCCGTTATCCTTTGTCTAGTTTTTTCCGTGACTTCAGAGACACTTTATCGCATAAGTATGTATACAATTATAAACATACATACATGTATATTTTTTCCTTATTCAGGAGTCGTCAGATTTAAATTGCACCGCATTGTTAAGGTATGTAAAGATGTACTATTACTTAAAAGTCTCTTCTTAACAACTGGAAAGGTCAGTACAAAAGTCCAGAGAAATAACCAACTTTTTTTTAAAAACTTTGTTGAGGAAAATTATAAAATAAAAATTAATTTCTCTAAAGTGTATATATGTAAATAGTTTTAATACATACATATATGTATTTTAAATGTCTTTAATGTCTACATATACATATGTGCTAAGCTGAACTATGTATGTAAATGTGCACCGGGAATAAGTGTGTCGCACTTGAAGGGTTTCATTAAAAGAATTTTTAAATGCCACGTTGTTTAAGAAAAATTGCTCAAAGGCAATCT